AAATTTCGAAAATAACAAGAATTATACCGCAAAAATTTTTAAATTTAACAAAACATATAACCAAAAATTGTTAAATCTGAAAATTTCAAAATATATTGTAAGAACCAAATTAAAATCTTTGATTCTCAATGATTCAACATGAACAGGCTCTGATACCACTTGTTGGATAATTTAATACTTTAAAATATCGGATCTTTCATGTTAAATCATCAAGAAATATAATAATTAAAGCGGAAGCATACCTGAATCTGACATGGTTAATGCAATATGGATTTCGCGGTATGATCTTCCAAATCTACACGCAGTCTCCTTTTCCTCTCTGTGATGTGATGCAGTAGAGAATGAATAATTCGTTTCGTTGCGTGTGATCTGGGGACCATAACCTATTTATATGAGGATGCCCTTTGACCTAATTCGGCCCATCATAAAATTAGGACTTGGGCCCGGTCTCTACACATATGTAAACCCATACTTTAATTGGATACATTAAAGCCCAAAACCGAAACCTTATTAGATCACTTTAATCGGGCTCAACCGAATTCGATAGCCTATAATTTAACACACAATTATTCACACATACAAGCCCATCTTTAATTAAAAGTCCTTACAGGAACAACAAAACAATAGATGGAAACTTTGCACAGTGACAGAAGTCGAGGAGACAAAAACTATAATTCGTATGATTCCAGTGTGGTCGACTTTCATCTTTTGCGGTATTGTGTCATCCATTGGATTCACTTACTTTATAGAGCAAATAAATCATCTGAGCCCTACAGTCAAAGGCGTAGAGGTCCCATCCACACTTCTTCTATGGTTCTATCACGAAGTGAAATCCAAACAACAAAACAATAGATGGAAACTTTGCACAGTGACAGAAGTCGAGGAGACAAAAACTATAATTCGTATGATTCCAGTGTGGTCGACTTTCATCTTTTGCGGTATTGTGTCATCCATTGGATTCACTTACTTTATAGAGCAAATAAATCATCTGAGCCCTACAGTCAAAGGCGTAGAGGTCCCATCCACACTTCTTCTATGGTTCTATCACGAAGTGAAATCCATGTGCAATAAATTCTACGTGAAATTCGCTAACTCCTTAGATGAATCAGGATCAAGAAAGTTCGCTCCAGCAATTGGGGTCTTGTTATCTATGATATTCGCGATACTGTGTTGCATTAGTGCTGCAATAGTGGAGAACCAAAGGCTCGATGTTGTTCAAGAGCATGGTTCACTAGATAGTCCCGGTCCAGTCCCCATGACTGTGTTTTGGCTACTCCCTCAGTTCCTTCTACTTGCTGCACTTGATGGAATTTTCTACAGTAGTGCAGTGACATTCTTCAAAGATCAATCTCCAATTTCCACAAAAAAATACTTGCCCTCCTTCATTAGCGGCGTATTTGGTGTTGGGATTTTGAGTAGTGCATTATCTGTGTACATTGTGGGTAAAATCAGCGAGAGGGGAGGACAAAATCGGAATTGGTTCCACCACAACATAAACAGAAGTCGACTTGATAAGTATTACTGGACACTAGCGTGGTTGAGTGCTATAAATCTAGTAATTTTTATTGTGGTAGCAATTTTCTATCGCTATAACGAATCAGAATTGCAAAAACTTGAAGTTTCCAAGTTTGCTAAAGCAGATGAGCCCTTTGATGATGATGATGATGATGCTAATCGTTGTTGCTGCTATTGTTGTTAGATATGTTGGGGAGATTTTCATATTGCATAGAGAATAATCAAGAATGTATGTTTGTTATCAAAAAATAATGTCGAATAAAATCCAAAATGTATCGATTGATTAGCTACTCTTGTGCATTCTTTCCTGTCTGATTTTCAATGGTACGAGATGAAGTCATAAAAATTGTGGATCTTGTAGAAAGACCGTTCTGAACATTATATGCAACATACTTGATAATCTCGACTCTAAATAGATCATACATAAACATTAGTTGGAGTCGATATCCCTTGCGCTGTTTGAAAAATTTAATCTTGAGAAACATTTAAACACACCAGCAACAACATTTAGTGTTATCCTCAAAGAGCTCATCAGTTTCATCAAACTCGATCAGGTGTCCAAGTTCTTGCAATTTTGATTCCTTGTAGCTATAGAAATTTGCTGCCAAAAATTACTAAATTGATGCAGTACAGTAATATTTATCGAGTCGACTTCTGTTAAAGGGTGTGGACTGTGGTGCAACCAATTTAGTTTTTCACCCCTTTCATTGATTTTACCTACAATATATGTAGAAAGTACATATATTGATCGATGAAAAAAATCACTGCACTGCACTGCATTGGAAAATTCCATCAAATGCCACAAGTAGAAGGAACATAGTGAGTAGCTAAAACATTGTCATGGGAACTGAGAAGTGGATACATTCAACACTTGCTTTCATTTGCAAATCAAACTCGCACCATTTTTTGTAAATGTGAGCTCTTCAAGTTTTTGAACTGCGGTGAACTACCTATTGTCTAAAGATTAAGCTTTTCAACTAAGCATAGCCATGTGGTCACAATGACTTTTAGCCTGACAAAAAAGTTTTTTCTTCTTTTTCAACTCAACCTCATTATGAAATGCAATTGAGCCCCCGTTTGGCCCCCATTTTCTAGAAATAAAAATGGGTGGAATAGTATTTTTTTTTTTAAAAATGAGTGGTTGAAAAAAAAAGAAAAGTTTTCGATTTACCTGTGATATTATTTTATGGAAGATTTGTGGTTGAAAATAGAAGAGAGGAAAATAGAATGTAATGGAATGTAATTTAATGAGGGCCAAACGGGGCGAGACTCGTTTTTAACTTACTTTAGAAGCCTGATTTCGGTTATCAAGTTTTAGAGAGAGCAAGAGGGTAGATATAAAAATGTTCATTCTTACGCAAAGATTGCGTCTTGAATTTTGGATGAAGAAGAAGAATACGCAAATGAGATTTTATTAGAAGAATTGAAGTGATTTAAGGCATGAAGAGTTTTCCTCTTTTTATTTCTACAATTGCACTCTAGGTGATGTCTCATTATTCAACCATGTATTTTTGTAATTTCATGGTGCTTGACTAAATTTTAAGTTACTTGATGAAGATGAACCCTTTATCATAATGCTTACATATCAATTTTGAGAATTTGAAATTAGATACTTGTTTATCTTGGATGATTGTTATACATACTTAATAGTTCAATCATTTATCTAATTGAAGTTCTGGTGCTTGTCTCTTAATCGAGTTCTTATCATAGTTTAATTTTTGGATAATTAGATATAAAACTAACAAGTAATAAATTGTTTTACTTTATTAAAACTAGAGAAAACGTTATTTTACTCACTCTTTATTACTTGGAACCCATAGTTCCACATGCGAAATTTTAACGATTAGTCATCATTTTATGCACGACATACATTGCAAGTATATCCGCTGATAGAAGAACTTATCAAAGAATTTTCCACACCCATAACATATTCAACTGTCGATTGACTTGAGCAACAGAGCATCCATGACTGTCTCCATCATCGGAGAAAGAAACCACATGCATCAATGCTTATCCAAATGAGTCGGAGCTTAACACATGGACGGGAGTGGAGTCAAGATCTGTTGGTCACTTGTACTCGTTGGGTTTCAAGGTCAATAATATGGAATATATAGAAGGAAAAGTGATTTATTTTTCATATATGTTTTTTCATGCGCGTTAAAGGAAGACCACTTTTTCTAACGTAGGAATCTGAATTCTGTATGCAAAAATGGTAGAAAGGTGCATGTTTGTAAAGTCAACCCCAAATGGGCACCCCGACGAAATTACAACAGTTGACTTCAATGGTAGTATGACTTTAAGGTTTCCATTATCATAAGATGAGGATACAAGTCATTTTGTTTGTCGGGAAGTTTCATACTGGATTTGCGCGGCAGCGTGGCACTAACTTTTGCACATGGCAATATTCAAGCTGTAGAGTACTGCATATGTTAATTTACTCCATAATGCAATATTAAGCACCTAATTGGTATATATTTTTCAATTTTTTTTTTCGAGATTTATTTTCAATTATACATTGATCCATTATTTTTTCCTACTTTTTAATCACACATTCTCTAATATCATTTCGCAAAATTTATTCTACATCAAACAGGCCCTAAGCTTTTGCACTGTCGCAAATTTGAGTCCTTCAATGAACTGTGTTCAAGGTAGGCATTTTAATCGAAACCGAACTTCCCAGAATCGCACGTTTAGCAAATAAAATAAATAAATAAATAAAATTAAGAACTGTGAATTGAGAATTTATTGGGTACATGATAGTTCTTGATTCTTATGTTAGAATCATGAGTACATGAATCTGAAATTGAATTCATCAATTTTTATAAGTTTTTTTTTTTTTTTTTTTTTTTTTTTTTGTGTGGGAATTATTCACTTGACTCAGTGACCCATGGAATGCAAAGGAAAATATGGAACGAAAAATGAAAAAAAAAAATGGAAAAAAGAAAAAAAAAAAAAGAAAAAGAAAATCGACATTGTTGATTGTTGTGGTGTTTTTAGAAGAATGAATTATGCTATTTTTTAGAATTTCTAGAATCCATTATATTATTATAGTTTTTCTTAGTTTTTTATTTGTTCTTTGAGTATGTAATTTGGTGTTTATGCTCTGTTTCATATTGGATGTTTTGCGGCATGTTTGCTAAATATTGGATGTTATTTGATGGTATATTTGTATATGATTAAGAAATTGTTGAAATATATTTGGTGACATATTTTATTTCTTTATTTTGAACAGAAATGTTGATTAAGAGCCCAAATTTCCATCATGGTAAAATCCCAGGTTAAAAGAGACTCAATAGCAACAATACATACCTGTGATCTCACTTGGTGTATTTTGCATCATCTGTCACCGAATACGATATCATATGTCAAGGAGGCTGAATGCTAATACAGTTCTACCAACCACAAAGTCAACATGCACTTGTGTTGCGGAGAATTATCAAACGGTGTTAAGACTTGTTCTTCATCGTTTCGGGAACTGCAGAATGTCAACGAATTACGCGTTTTCGAAGCTATTGCAATTCATATATTCATCATATATGTTAGTGTCTCTTCTACATTTTCTATTTCATAACTAAAATAGACAGAAAGGGCACGTTTAATACTGGGATTCATGAAGGCTGTAGCCGAATTAAATTTATTGAGAAATGGTCTTAGTTTCTTCTTCCTCCTCCTCAATATTAAGGCTTTATTTGTCTCACACATATGATTTTGTTTCCAGGGAATGGGCATGTTAACTATGTCAACTCCACCAATTTTGGCAAACATCCTGGCAGAGCCGGTCCTGTGTCTAATGGGCCCTGAGGCGAACGATTAAAAGTATGCCCCTCATCGACAAAATTCAAAGGTGCATTATGCGACTCATTGCTAACTTAAAAAACTAACATTAAAACAACAACGAAATATATCATAGAAACGATTTATATTATAAACCATCAAATCAAAAATTTCAAACAATTAGTTAAATACCATTCGTCTTGCTGTTTTAGAGGCAAAAATATTAATCAAATCTGAATAACTTAGCTGCTCAACAATTTTTTTTTCTATTGAAAACAAAGCCAACCTATTTAATCTTTCTTGCGAAATAGTTGATCAGTGATAGGTGTTGATCAACTTTAATTTCGAGAAATTTCTTTCTGCGGATGCAACTATAACCGGTATGGTTAACAAAATTTGGTAAGCAATATAAGCATTTGGAAAACAAACATCCAATGTCTTCAAATACTGTAGCATTTCAATTGCTCTTGTTGTTTCACTTTGTATATAATACCTCAAGACTTGTAACTCCGAACATAAATCATCCCCATTAATGTCCGAACGCTCATTATGTTGAAGATATTTCTCAAGATTCAAACAAGAGTTCAACAAACTTGAAAAAGTTGCACCCCTTAACCTCTTCAAACTAAACAAAAATCTAAATGTGTCATCATATTATTTGAATTGTTCAAATCGGGTCCTCAGAGAAGATAGAGCTTGATTAATTATAAAAATAAAGTACTCAACTCTAAAAAATTCTTCTGCTGGTTGCTTTACCTCATCACTACCGCTTTCATCAAATTATTTTTCTTCGAATTATGCATTTTTCTGTAAATACAGCTTCAATTTCCATTTCGCTTGTCTTTTTTGTCGCTTCATCTTTGGCAATAGCAAATCCAATTTCTCTGTATTCTTCAAGAAATGAAACAAGTCATTGTAAGAGGTCGATAGCACGATCAATATCCATGGATTCGATTTGAAGAAATTTACTCACAATATTGACAGCATGCAACAATCTGTCCCAGTTTATCATGCCAAACAAAAACTCAAAATTTTGAAGTTCATGTGTTGCTAATGACTCTGCTTCACTCTTCACTTTTGGATCTTCATTACTTTCAGCCAAATCAAGTAATGCATCTATTATTTGTGCAGTTTGCTCCATTATAGGTTTCACACTTTCAACATGACTTTCCCAACGTGTTTGTGACAATGACTTCACTGTCAACCCTTGTACATTATCTTTGAAAATTTTCCATCGCTTGGTAGAAGAGAAAAACAATGTGTAGATGCATTGTATTACTCCGAAGAAGGATACAGCTTTGGAACAACAGTTCACCATATCACATAATGCTAGATTTAGATTATGAGCGCCACATGGAGTATAGAAAGCTCGGGGATTCATTTCATGGACTCTTCTTTGCACACCTTTGT